CCTGACCATCCAATCCTTCAGCAGGTTCCAGCACACACCAAGGTATACCAGCTACTTCCATGTCATAAAGGCTTAGTCATGTCTCTTGACCAAGCAATGAGCTGGTGCCCTGACAGCAATCTGCGCAGGATCTGAAGGCATCAAATCAATCCTGGCACATGGTGTTTGTAAACACTCCTTTCTCTGACTTTCATCATTTCATCATGTCAAACATGGCAGTGTTGCAGCAATCAAAAGAAGCAAGAGACAGTGATCTGCACAGCAAGGTTCAAAGAAGTTGGTTTGCAAACTTGGTCATGGATTTGTTGGTCAATGAGCACATGGAGGAACTCACGATGGACTTAAATGTGGACAAAGACAATCAGGTTGTTGAAGAAGATGGTCTCATGGTCAAAGAAGAACCTGGTTTGCTCACACTGCAGAGTGCCAATCAGTGCTTGTGCATGGGTAAGGCTGGTCCTGCCATGACTGTGCTTTTATCTGCTATCCCTGCACATGCTATACCACTGTATGATGCTCCTTACCAAGCAGAAAGTGGAAATATTGGAAAATTATCAGCTGTGGAAGAAGACCTCCTTCCTGCATGGGTGTCTGAAATGGTGAAATGGCAGGCAGAAAGGAAAATCCAGCAAACAGACCAGCCTTTCTACTTGCAGTCATGGTCTGACCCCAATGTTACTATTGACTCCATCACATCAGCCTCTGTGCAGGGTGTCAATCATGGCAACATACATGCAGTGGCTGGCCCTTTGCAACCAGTGGTAAACACGGCCCTTATGCAGGTCATTGTGGACCAAAATCTGGCAGGCAATGTGGAGCAGATGCAGGCCATGCATGTCATTGCCCATCACCTCTGCGCAGGGTCATCACAGCAACTTCTACTTTACATTGGAGGCAGTGCAGGCATGGGCAAGAGCCATGTTATTTGTTGTATTGAATCCCTGTTCTTGAAACTCCACATATGGGATATGCTTCTTCTAAGCGCACCAACAGGAGCCATAGCTGTTGTGATAGGAGGATACACAATTCACTCCCTCACCCAGCTTCCAGCTTTACAGGGGGTAAAGGTAAATCAGGGCAGCCTGGAGCAAGTATGGCAGCAGGCATCTTGGCTTGTTATTGATGAAATCTCAATGGTGTCAAGCAAGCTGCTATATGACATGTCAATTTGCATTGCACAAGGGTGAGAGGTGGACATTTCCTCTGCATTTGGTGGAATGAACATTATTTTTACTGGAGACTTCACACAACTGAAGCCATTGGGCTGGCAATTGCTATACAGTCACAAATTGGTGCGACACATGAATGCCATACACATGAGCCATGTACAAGGTCAAGAAGAGTTAGTGGGCATTATTTTCTGGCAACAAGTTAACCACACAGTCCTTTTGACAAAAAACATCTGCCAGGAAAATGACTGGCACTGGGCAGAACTCCTTCTGCATTTGTGTGATGGGAAGCCTTGGAGGAATATGCCAGAGGAAAGCATTTCAAAATCGGATGCAGTGCATTATGGCATTTCAGATGAAGACATTCTTTGATCACAGATTTTGTCAAACATCTTTCAATGGTCCCCTGTGCAAGGTCTTCAGTTCCTGAACTTGGCTTTCATTGTTGTTACAAAGGATGTTCGCAATTCAGTCAATATGTTCCTGGCTTGTCGCCATGCACAAGCCCTGTGCAAAGCATGTCACCTGTATTTTCTCCCTGATATGGTTGACCATGTGCAAGTCAGACCAGCAGTGCAACATGCATTATGGACCCTGCCAATCAATTGCACAAATGGTGCTGCTGCCTTCCTGCCCATGTTTGAGGGCATGTGTGTGATGCTGACTGAGAATCTAGCCATGTCTAAATCACTGGTGAATGGCATGATTGGTACAATCATGGGGATATGGTATGTTTCCAACTCAGATGGCCAATGGTATCCTACTGCAGTTATGGTGAACATGCCTGGTTGTGACCATGTGCAAGTTGGCTTACCACTGAACACTATTTGTATCCAGCCAACTGCAAAGACATGGGTGTATCAAACAACCGGAAGAACCAATTTGAAGAAGGCTACACATTCAATTTCCCAAAAATTTCTCCCTTTGCTTCCAGCATACACTTATACGGACTACAAGAGTCAGGGTTGGACCTTGCACAGGGCCATTGTGGATCTCTGTGGGTGCAGTACTCCACAAAGTGCTTATGTGATGCTCTCTCAGGTTTGATGTCTTCAAGGATTGGCAGTCCTTTGTCCTTTTGATTCAAAATTGTTCTTTCAAGGGCCACCCTCAGACTTGCGCAAGGAGTTTGAATGATTAGATGATCTGGCCACTAAAACAGCCACCAGATTTCCCTAGCCATTCACAAGGATCTGTCTATCACACTGGAGTCGCACAATGCCCTGCTTTGCTGTTGGCTCACGTTGGTTGTTGTGGCTTGCAGGGGGGCTGGCATGGCTTCTGACATGCCCTGCACTTGGTGAACAACCTGAACGTCATCTCTTGGGCAGTGGCTGTTGTGCTCACCATGATGGCTGGCTGTCATGCAAGCCTTCCTTTATTGCAAGCCACCCATTGCAGATAAATTGGATTGCAAAAAGTGTAATGTACTGTACTTCCCCAATGGCCTCGAAAAGACATAACAATACTTTGAACCAAGATGCAGAGACTGCCATCCACAATAAATGGTATGTATCTGGACTTGACAATGTACTTCTATTAACCTTGCTGTGTGCAGGGCCTGTATTGATGTTACAGATGACATTGTCAGGGCACCAGCTCATTGCTTGGTCAAGAGACATGACTAAGCCTTTATGACATGGAAGTAGCTGGTATACCTTGGTGTGTGCTGGAACCTGCTGGAAGGATTGGATGGTCAGGTGACCTGCTGTGCATGGCTGTGCATGACCTCATATGACCTCATCCTTGGTCATATGACCTGATCACCTGACTAGGCTGAGTAAGCAAGATGTTCTAGCAGGTTCCACCACAGAGGTATAAATATAAGGCCTACTCTGCCTGGGGACTGTCTCTTCAGACTT